GTCACGGCATTGGGGTTTAGGGTTTAGGGATACTGCCCTACACCCTGAACATTTAGAATGCTCAAACCCTTCCGCTTGCTGGCTCTATGGAATTGTAGGCCTCATCTCCAGATTGGTTGTCAGGGTGGGATCTGATAAGTAGAGGTATAGAATAGTTAAAGAACTGCCCGGAAGCAGGTTTGCACCCTAAACCCTAAACCCTAAACCCTCAACCCTAAACCCCAAACCCTAAACCCTAACCCCGAAACCAAACCCTAAGCCCTTTTTGTCTTCCTGCAGCACGTCGGCCAGCAGCTGCTGGTGGAACCGCAAGCTCTGCCTGAATACTCGTGTAAGGTGCCCTAAACCCTAAACCCTAAACCCTAAACCCTAAACCCTAAACCCTAAACCCTAAACCCTAAACCGTAGACCCTAAACCCTAAACCCTAAACCCTAAACCCTAAACCCTAAACCCTAAACCCTAAGTTTTAAGCCCTACGCCCTAAACCCTAAACCCGAAACCCTAAACCCTAAGGTGGCCCAACGCAGTGACTTGAGGTTGCAGCGGATTCGATTTTTGCAGTCAGCGCACATGAACGCAGTTTGCAGCAAACCCTCAATCTTAAGCCCTAGACCCTAAACCCTAAACCCTACACCCTAAACCCTAAACCCTAAACCCTAGTAGACCCTGAACCCGAAACCCCAAATCCAAAACACAACCCTGACGGTTTAATATTGCCACCGGGGATGCCGCAGCTTGTAAGCCGTTTCCTGCTGGCCGGGGTTCAGATGTCGAAGCTTCAATGCATGGACGTCACATGCTTTGGTACCTGTTTCCCTAAATCCTAAACCCTACCGAAACCCTAAATCCTAAACCCTAAACCCGAAACCCTAAAACCGAAACTGTACTTCTAAAACCTCGTGAAGCCCCACCCAAATTTCCATCGATTACGCCGAGAGGCAGAAGACTGAGGTCTGGAAGGGGCTTTTTGGCTGTGAGGGTTTTTTGGGTGCTAGGGCCTGGGTTTTCAGGGTTTGGGGAGGTTTAGGGGGTTCTAGGTGTTTAGGGTTTAGGGTTTAGGGTGTAGGGTTTAGGGTTTAGGGTTTGGGGTAGCTGGGGTCTGGGTTTTTCAGGTTTTTTTGCTGGGAACCCAGGGGTTTGAACAGGGGCCATTCGAACCCCGGGGCACCTCTTAGGTCTCTTACACGGTTGAAGAGCTTGCAATAAGCCAGTGCAAGAAGCGAAGGAGTTCAGCAAAGAAGGCCGGATTGAAAACGTTAGCAATGCCCTGAGGCTCACAACATGTTGAGCTCAAAGCTAATAGGAGGATGCAGGAAGTAGCAAATGGGCCTATCTCAAAATTTGGAAAGGCCTTATTGTTTTCAAATTCGTCCCTTAAAAGAAACTCAAGCAGAAATTGAACAAAGAGGCCCTCGTTTGAAAAGACCGTTGCTCTTTGAAGCTCTCTCAACTCTGCAATTTGTCTAGTAGCCGCCCTAGGCGCCCAACTGTACCCCGCACACCAAAGCCCGTGTTTCCTGTAGAACGTAAGTCAATATGCCGTGGGGTTTGGAGTGCTTAGCTAGGACTTATGCAGGTTGATCTCCAAGGGAACTTCTTAATCAGGCCGGTTCAGGGTCTAAACCCTAAACCCTAAACCCTAAACCCTAAACCCTAAACCCTAAACCCCTCCTGCAGACCCTGTCTTCAACGCCAAACCTGCTGAAATCTTTTTCGTTTGAGCAAAGGCGGCCCTCACTCAAGAACCCGAAGCCCTGAACCCCCCAAAAAAACACCCTCACGACAACTAAACCCTGAAAACGCTTTGAGCCCTCTCAGCCCATTAAAACCCTGCGAACCCTTAAACCCTCTAAACCCTTTAAGCCCTTGAAACCCTTTGCAGCCCTTTCAACCCTAAACCCTTTAAAGGTACAGGTTGGGTTGTTCCCCCTTCTACTAAACTAGCCCCTTCTACTAACCTAGGATGGCCCCTAACACCCTCTGAAACATATTCCTGAATATGATCCTCTGAAACCCAACAAGGGACATAAAAATGTCCCAACAAGGGCCTACCGAGATAATAGGGGAAGCCCTAAACCCTAAACCCTAAACCCTAAACCCTAAACCGGCATTATAGTACGACCCCCATTAAGGGCGGTTAGTATAAGGGGAGACATCCCAAGGTTCAGGGATTGCCGTGCATCCCGAAGCCCTCTGTGAGGTTTAGGGTTTAGGGTTTAGGGTTTAGGGTTTAGGGTTTCGGGCTTAGGGCTTAGGGTTTAGGGACTAGGGTCCTGCCGTAACCTGCCACAGAGTGTGACGGGGTCCAAGACCTGGAGGAGCGTGTTGAGGTCGGCGAGGTTGCCTCACGTCGCCGTGGGCTTCTGGCCCTAAACCCTAAACCCTAAACCCTAAACCCTAAACCCTAAACCCTAAACCCTAATCCCTAAACCCTAGGCCTAAACCCTTTTTCATCCCTGAAGCCCCCCAACTCCTACCACATCACCAAGGCTATTTCGGGATAATTAAGCCTAATTCATGGTTTTTAAGGTGGAAACCTAGCGGGGGTAGCCCTAAACCCTGAACCCTGAACCCTAAACCCTAGAACCTAGAACCTAGCGGAGGTCGTATACACGGGGGGTAGTAGGGGAACCCATGAGGCTGAGAACGTCAAGGCCCAGGCACGAAAGCGCCTGACCCCCCGACTTGTGGCAAACTCCTGGGCTTGGCAGCAGTTGGGGTTCTTAAGGAAGGGTTTAGGGTTTAGGGCTTAGGGCTTAGGGCTGAGGGCTTAGGGCTTAGGGTTTAGGGTTTAGGGTTTAGGTTTGGGGTTTAGGGTTTAGGGGTTAGGGTAGGAGCCTCTCAAGCGCTATGCCAAACGGAGTAGGGTCTATAGGGTCTATAGGGTCTATAGGGTCTATAGGGTTTAGGGTTTAGGGACACCCCTTTTTCATGCCACACAGGCGCAGTGTACTTCCACCAGGAAGCGACCTGACTTGTCCTTGGCGGGCGTTATCCGCGCTACGATTGGGTGGTTCCAAAGCCCTCAATACCGAACAGTAGCTTCGAATCCCTAGGGTTTAGGGTTTAGGGTTTAGGGTTTAGGGTTTAGGGTTTAGGGTTTAGGGTTCCCTGTCCTACCCCCCCCCCCCCCGCCACATGCCAAAGCCTTTAACACTCCAAGCTGGGATTGTTCCACCCTGTTATAACCCTAGTAAGGACTGTGAGTATACCAAACTCCCCAAGCCCTACAACCTTACCAATCCTAGAACCCCCCAAATCCCAAATCCCCAGAACCCTGGAACCCTACATCGCAAGCCCGAAATGCCAAAAACCCCAAATCCCGAAACCCTAAACCCTAAACCCTAAACCCTAGAACCCTAAATTCCTAAACTGCCAACCCTCAAACCCCTTCCCCCTCTTCCCCACAACGAGATTAAATGCCCCAGGAAAGCCTCAGTCTGATGCCAAGGATTGCCACAGGTGAGGTTTAGGGTTTAGGGTTTAGGGTTTAGGGTTTAGGGTTTAGGGTTTAGGGTTTAGGGTTTAGGGTTTAGGGTTTAGGGTTTAGGGTTTAGGGTTTAGGGTTTAGGGTTTAGGGTTTAGAGGGTTCCGTGTTTTGCTTTAGGCAAGTATCAGGCTTACCCTTACACTCGGGAACACCCCCCCCCCCCCCCCCCGAATCTTACATAGTAGTATGGTCTTTGGGCCAAAGCTCCAACGCATGATTCCTCAGGGACGTAGGGTTAGGGTGTCAGACCCATTACCCTAAACCCTAAACCCTAAACCCTAAACCTTAAACCCTAAACCCCCAAAATGCACAATGCCAGAAACCAAGCAAGCTCTTAAGAGAACTCCGAGTGGCAGCGACATGTCAGGCCTCGTCCATCGGGGTTGGCTCTCGTATAAACCCTAAAGGCCCTAAACCCAAACCCGTTCAATAACCCAAATATGAAATAGTTTCTGATGTCGGCTGGTACTATTTTCTGCCTCTTTCTGATGTTCTGTTGCCTTGCTTCTTGGTTCACACTTTCTGCGCGTTGCTTTCATAATTTGATGTCTGCTCCACATACAAGGCAGCAAAGAACTTCCACAAGTATGCGAATATTTCTTTCCCATACCACATGAAATTCAACAGGTTTAGGTACATGTACCTCGATATCTGGGTCTGCAAGCTTCTTCAAGTTCTCTTCGCGTGCCTTCGATTGTTCATGTTGCTTTAGTTTATGCCTGTAATCGTAGCTAATCAGGGGGATGTGTTTATCCAAATGTCAGGTTTGGGGTCCAGAGGGTTTAGGGTCTGGGCTTCAGGGTTTGGAGGGTAGAAGTAAAGACCTAGTAAAGACATTAACCCTGAGCGTAGAGAGAGAGAGAGAGAGAGAGAGAGAGAGAGAGAGAGAGAGCTCAGCTGGGAGGGAAGGGAAGGGAGCTTCAGGATGTTGGTTGGCTTGAGGGTTTTGTGAGCCCTGAACCCACCCCCTAATTCCGAACACGGTTTAAAAGGCGGGATCGGTTTCGGCAGGTTTTCCGGATAGTGTTTGCTTTATAAGGGGGGTATTTAATAAATGCGGGAAGGGATTACAAAGAGGACCAATATTGATTTCGTCCCTAAATTTGGTCATTGTCATCTGGTTCTGACTCCATTTTGTAACTTTGTCAGGGTTACTCTCACGATACAGTTCCCTTCTGCCTCTACATACACTACATGTTCACCCTTCATCAACATTCTCAACTTTCTGCATAGTTTGACAAACGCGGCAATGGTTTCGTTCAATCTGTTCCGCTCCTTGGCATACATGTATCTGTTCTGCGTGTTTTCTGCCACGATACCTTTTGTCTGTCTCTCTCCACGTATTTTGACGGCCCCTGTCATAGGGGCCTTATATACTCCAGCTTAGGCAATTTCGAGCCCTCAGCCTCACCCCCCAACGCCCAGGTCTGCCCCTAACCCTAAACCCTAAACCCTAAACCCTAAACCCTAAACCCTAAACCCTAAACCCTAAACCCTAAACGTGGAGGCCTCTCCGAGATCCCCAGCGTCATGTTGGAGGGGGGAGGCTCCCAGCCCGCCCACAAGTCGGGCGCCAGTTGCAAGTACCGCCTCTCTTCAGTTCAGGATGTGTAGGGTTTAGGGTTTAGGGTTTAGGGTTTAGGGTTTAGGGTTTAGGGTTTAGGGTTTAGGGTTTAGGGTTTAGGGTTTAGGGTTTAGGGTTTAGGGTTTAGGGTTTAGGGTTTAGGGTTTAAGGGTTTGGGTTTAAGGCTTAGGGTTTAAGGAGGCTGTACTATGGGTTGAAGCCCGAACTCAAGTCAACTGCCTGCTTCCAAGATACTCCTCCGTCCAGGGGTTGAGGGGTCCCAAGGCAGGGGGGCTGCGGCTGCCAGGGGAGTTTCGGGTTGTAGGGGGGGTCCCAGGACTCAGGGCGTTCAAGGTATCCCAGGCTGCGGTTTAGGATTTAGGCCCCAGTCCCTGCAAAAGCTGCGCCCGGGGGTGGGGGGGGGGGGTGCCCTTCCGGTAAAATCTGGTGGGTCGGCTTTGCGCCATCGAGCCAAGGGTTTAGTTCGGGTGCAACAGTTTTTGGGGGAAGACCCACGAAAAGGCGAGCATTTGGGCGGATTGGGTCGTGTTGCAGCGCAAGAGACCAAAAGCCTCGACACCAAGCTCTCATCAACAACGCCCTACACTCACCCTAAACATTAAACCCGAACCCTAAACCCGAAATTCTAGACCCTAAACCCTAAACCCTAAACCCGATACCCCCAAAACCCTAGCCCTAATCCCTAACCCTCAAGGAAGCCGGAGAAGACCCGCCTTTTCCATTTGAGGTTCCACTCCGTCATGTTGGCCCTGGACAGGAAGACCTGGGCACGCATGGGCACACTTAGCCCCCACCCTAGCCGAGGTCCCGACTGACCCTAAATAAACCCTAAACCCTAAACCCTAAACTTCCTAAACCCTAAACCCTAAACCCTAAACCCTAAACCCTAAACCCTAGACCCTAAAGAGAGAGAAACAGAGCTGAGAGACAGAGAGAGAGAGAGAGAGAGCAACAGAAAGCGAGAGACAGACAGAGAGACAGAGAGGGCCTGAGGGCCTAGGGTGAATGAACGATGCAGAAGAAGGTTTAGGGTTCAGGATGATCCGGGTTTAGGGTTTAGGGTTTAGGGTTTAGGGTTTAGGGTTTAGGGTTTAGGGTTTAGGGTTTAGGGTTCTAAGGTGGAAGCTCAGAAGACTGAAGCTATACAGGCTTCCCTCCGGGGGCGTACGCAGGAGTACGACCGGAGTGCTGACGTGCACTTCTTCCGGCTGCAGCTTAGGGTTAAGGGTTTAAGGGTTGAAGGGTTTAGGGGTTTAAGGGTTTAAGGGTTTAAGGGTTTAGGCGTTTAAGGGTTTAAGGGTTTAAGGGTTTAAGGGTTTAAGGGTTTAAGGGTTTAAGGGTTTAAGGCTTTAAGGGTTTAAGGGTTTAAGGGTTTAAGGGTTTAAGGGTTTAAGGGCTTAAGGGCTGAAGGGTTTAGGGGTTTAAAGGGTTTGAGGGTTTAAGGGTTTAAGGGCTGAAGGGTTTAGGGGTTTAAAGGGTTTGAGGTAGTATTTATAGCCAACATAAGCAACAGCTTCCGTCGCACGGTCCACTTGAAGCCGCGCAACCCAGTCGAAACCCCAAGGAGATTTCGGCTCAACAGGCTTTCGGCTTTCGATTTGAGGTTTAGGGTTTAGGGTTTAGGCTTAGGGGCTTCAGGGATTTTTGCTCGCTGCCGAGGGACGGTGGTTACCAACGTGTGCATGTAGTGGTTGCTGGGCATCAGCACCGGTATGCCGAGAGCAATAACTTCTTGAAACCTCATGGGTCTCAGTTTCACCCCAGACCCTAAACCCCAAACCCTGAACCCTGTTTTTTTTCGTCAACCAAAATCCAAAAAATGCCTCCTAAGGAGACGATGGGAGAAACGACACCAGCCCGAAATCCCACGGGATCTGCAGCACCGCCGAGAAGTTCTGGAGCTCCTCGTACCGGAATTCCCGTGTTTCCGACACCTGCATCTGCTCGACCTTTGTTCAGGTCCCAAGAGGTTGGGGTTTAGGGTTTAGGGTTTAGGGTTTAGGGTTTAGGGTTTAGGGTTTAGGGTTTAGGGTTTAGGGTTTAGGGTTTAGGGTTTAGGGTTTAGGGTTTAGGGTTTAGGGTTTAGGGTTTTTCGGGTTCTTAGAGTTTATAGGGTTTAGGGTCTAGGGTTCAGGGATTAGGGTTTAGGGTTCAGGGTTCAGGGTTTGGGAAATTTCGGGTTCTGGAGCAGTCAGCCCCAGACCCCTGAGATACCGTGCTAAGAACCAGCTGTGCTTGCTGTAGCTAGAGGATTGAGCTTTGGCGGGGGATAACACCCTGTGCATTGGCGGGAGAAAATATGGTGCGGTCATTAATAATAAGAAGGTCTAGCCTTCGACTCTCAAGGTTCAAGGCTTGGCAAGATTCCAGCTTCATATTCCAGACTTTTCTGGAGTCGGGCTTTCTATACACTCCTTGTAAAATTTGCTTACTGGACCCTGGACCCTGGACCCCTTCACCCTAATTAACCCCGTTCCTGTTTAAAGAGGGTGTCTAAAGATCGCGATCTTGTTTGGGGGGGCCCTAGATACTAAAGAGGGGCGCAGCGTCATAGGGTCTAGGATAGAGCTTTTGAGGCTTGTAGGCCCTAAACCCTGGCGCCACGACACTGTCCAACGCCGGCCGCGCAACGCTCCCGCGAAGACTCGCTCTATCATGAGGGCCGTCTGCGCTGGGAACGTAGACTGGCTCCTCTTTCGATTTCGGATGGTGAGGGTTCAAAGACGTGCCTCTGCAAGGTTGTACCCCGGTGAAGATGTCGCTGAAAGCCCGATAAGCCCGAAACCTTGAACCCAAAACGATCTGGAACCCCGAAGCTCTAAGCCACAAATATGGCCTCTACATTCCCTGAGCTACAATTGGCTTTAAAACCTACAAAAAAAACAAAATAGCAATCTCTAAATTACCCTTATAAGGAAAAGCACTTTTTTTTTTTTGGGGGGGGGGGTTCTTAAGCAAACAGTATTGAGGGGTTCTGGATCGGAAGGCTTGCGGTTTCGGGTTTTGGGCTGGTTTAGGGTCTGGGCATCTGCCCGCGCCGAGGCAGAGGATCTCATTTTGGTGCACTGGGCTGCTGTCAAGGAACCTAAGCCACAAGGATACCACATGCATTTTGGACGTACTGAAATGCTTAGGTATTGCTGCCATATAACAAGGCAGCCATACTGCTGCAAATCCATAATCTGGCAAAAAACTTTTGGTTTCGTAACAGCACCCAGTAGATCTAGGATTTCTACTCAGGTTGTTCCAAATCAGGATACCCTTAGCGGCAGCTTTGATGAGGGAACCTACAACACTCAGTACATTGTCAACCATCACAACATGTGTATAGCCACGGTCCTAAAATATTTCAGAAAAAGAACATGTGCTTTATCGAAAGAGACGGCCCCGAAAGGCATGCACGTGTTGCGAACCCGGCTGCGACGGTTCTCGCTCTCTGTGTTGTTTTTTCTCTGTGTTTTTGTTCTCTCTCCCTCTCTCTCTCTCTCTCTGAAACAGAAACATGACCACATGCATTAGAAGTCCTCCACAGCAAGAGCTGTCGAAATCCAGGCTCCCGCATGCGACGATGACATTGAACACCCCCGGCCAGTTGTAGCACGTACCGGGCGGGGAACTCCACAAGCTGGGGTTGCGACGCTTCTCCGAACGCCACTCTTGCCACGACCACGTCCATGCGATCATTGAAGACGACTTTCCGAAGGGCCTTCCCATCCTCGGCTGCTGTCAAGGCAGTAGCCCTAAACCCTAAACCCTAAACCAAAAAACCCTAAACCCTAAACCTTAAACCCCAAACCCTAAACCCTAAACCCTAAACCCTAAGCCCTAAGCCCTAAGCCCTAAACCAGAGTCGGGTTTCGGTGCGACGTTTGGGGTTTAGATGGAGCCCTTGTAGGGACTTGCTTGCCTGACTAGTTCCCTACTAAGAGACAGGAACATCCCCCAAGCACTGAACCCTAAACCCGAAACCCTAAACCCTAAACCCGAAACCCTAAACCCTAAACTTAGGGCAGTTCTCAAGTTCATGAACATCAACCCAAGAGGCGGTGGTCTTTGTGGGCGCAGCCTTGGCAGCTGACAGCCCTCTTATGCTTGAAAAAGGGAGGCAATCTAAGAAATATTCAAGGTACCCCCTGGGCATACCCCTTGAAAGAAGTTAAGGGGTATGGCCAAATCCTTCCTTATGTTCTCCTCTTAGAGGTTAAGGGATATGGTCTGGTTTTGGGGTATGTTGAAGTATTCTTAGAGACAGGTCCTCTTGGTAGCCCAGTAACCATATGGGGTTTCCTAGGAAGAAACATACAAAATCCCCGGGCTTAGGGTACCTTATTGGGGTCCCTGATTATAGGGGAATCCTACGATTTGGGTGACTATCGGGGTCCCTTTATTTTCGTAAGCCCCATATTAAGATCAGGGCGCTCCTTTTTTTGGTCTGGCTACTCTGTAGGGAAACACACACACACAACCAAAAAACAAAGGTAAAGGGTGCCACTGAACTGCCACGGAAAAAAGGAACAACTCCTTCAGACGCTATGTTTCGCACTTAGGGTTTTCGGGGTTGGCGGCATATGGGGATTGAAGTCAGCCTTAAACGAGTTCACATGCCCTGGAACCAAACCTCAACCCCTAAACCCTAAACAGCCTAAACCCTAAACCCTTTACCCCTAAACCCTGAACCCTGAACCCTAAACTGCAGGGGGGCCATCCAGCGCTTGAAAGTCTGCAGAATCCAGGGGGTGAGGGAGTCGTCGGCGTACTCCGTCATGGACCCAGCTCCGTGGACAAGTACCTGGGACCCTATGTTTCGCATGTAGGGCATAGTGTTTCTTAATGCTAAGACAGGGAAGAAGGGTGCCACAAAGGGTTTAGGACTTACAGGGGTTGAGGCTTCAGGGTTTAGGGTTTAGGGTTTAGGGTTTAGGGTTTAGGGTTTAGGGTTTAGGGCTTCGGCCGGAGGACTGCGGGGTGAATTTCACAAGTTGGGAGCTTCGAGAACTTCTCTGGGCTGAGAAGCATGGTAAAGGAGCCCTGAACCCGAAACTTCGAACCCGTAAAACCTAAACCCCCCTAGGGGCCTAAACCCAAAAAAACCCAAAAAACCTAAAAGCAAAACCCTAAGAAGGCATTGAAGACCCGGAAACAAAATCCTAAACCCTAAGCCGTCATGAAAACTACGCATGTGATTGAGAAACTTTCCCGGCAAAAAAAAGCTCGGCCCCGACCTCCATCAAGCAAAACAAGGCCTCAAGTTGTCAAAGCTTAGAGAGCTCACCCAAAACCCAAAACCCAAGACCTTAAGGTCACCAAGATGTCCAGGGCCTGGGATGGTAAGCCTAAACCCTAAAGCCTAAACCCTACACCCTAAACCCTAAACCCTAAACCCTAAACTCTAAACCAGAAACCCTAGGCCTATTTCGACTGTGGGGTACCAGCATCGGGAGGTGCTGCAGTTGTTGAGAGGTGCCGAAGATGGCGCACAATGCGTAGGGATAGCCGCAGATCAGTAGATCAGCATCGCGTAGAACCGCCGCCTGGTGTGGTTGTAAGAACCCTGCCGTAAATTCTAAGCCCCTACATCTGCTTGAAGCGTAAACTTGAGGTTCTAAGCAGCAGCTGCAGGTCGAAGTGTCATCATGCACAACTTGGGATGTTCCCCCTGATACCAACAGTCCTTCATGGGGATTATGGTACCCCCTAAACTCCCTAGTAAGGACTGTTCGTATAAGGGGAACATCCCCTAAACCCTAAACCCTAAATCCTAAACCCTAAACCCCTAAACCCTAAACCCTAAATCCCCATGCACAACGCTCAACGACATGAGGAGGGTTTCACACGCAGATGTGCATTGACCAATCACGATGAAGTCTTAAGCCCCTCGCTTGAAGATTAGGGTTTAGGGTTTAGGGTTTAGGGTTTAGGATTTGGGGTTTGGGGTTTGGGGTTTAGGGTTTGGGGCTTTCGCTTCCGAACGCCAAGCCTTAAAGAGCTAATCTTGTGTGGTCGCTGGGAGCCCAAGAGCTTCTTCCCTCTTTGGGCGACAAGAGTGGGACACCCTAATCCATTCCGACAACTCGAAATTCCTAACTCCTAACCTGAAACTGTACAGGGACGGCACCCCGTTTTTATGACAAAGTCCTTACACACAAAAATATGAAAACACATATAAAGAAAGACATAATAAATAACTAAACAAATAAATAAATATAAATAAATAAATAAATAAATATATATATATATATATATATACACAGGAACATACACACACACACATATGAAAACAATTATAAACATACAGGAACATACACACACGCACACATGTATGTATGCATATACCTTTTTGCATGCCGCCTTCGGATCCCCAAAGCCCGAAACCCTCCCGGTCCTACCTCCCTATGGAGCTTGTCGATGGCGCTCCGCACATCGTGTACCGAGCACCCAGACTGCGTGCCTTTAGGGTTTAGGGTTTAGGGTTGAGGGTTTAGGGTTTGGGGTTTAGTGTCGGCGTTTAGGGTTTAGGATGTTCGTTTTGCTCTCTTTCTTGTGTGTGTGTGGGGGGGGGAGAGATATTCGAGGTTCGGTTTTTTGGGGGTTTTGGAGTTTACAGGTTTCAGGGGCCTTGGGGTTGAGAGTTTGAGGTTTTTCTGGCTGACTGCGTGTCGGGCTCTACGCGGCCGCAGCACACCAAACCTTGCACGGCGCCTCCATCGTCGCACTTTCGCACCACATGCAGCCTCGAGATTTCATTTCTTCCGCGGCGCAGCCTTTCTGGTCCTCAGGCGTGGACTCAGCCTCAGCAAGGCCCTTCTTCTTTTTCTGGCGGAGCTTTGGAACCAGCTGTGTGTGCTTCCCATTTCTCTTGCTGGCTGCTGTTCTCTTGCTGCCCGCTGTCTTCTCTATGTCCTTCACCTGCCCCTGCTCGTATTTTAACCCCCCCCCCCCCCCAAACTCTGCACCTGAAACCCCAAAATCTAAATCAGGCTCTAGGCCCCCAAAACGCTCAAGCCCTAAAGCATGAAACCCTAAACCCTAGACCTTAAACCCTGAAACCCTTACCCTAAAACGACCCAGGCTCGAAACTCTCGAAGCCGAGATGATGCCAACTCGGAAACATCTTACAAACAAACTGCACGACAGTTAGTAGGGGATAGGATTAGGGGACCCTTGGGGATATAGACCCTCTGAATAAGGTCCCTTGTTAAGAGAGCCAGAAGAGGGTTAAGAAGGGGTTGCCTTTTAAGGGGCCCCCTTATCCGACCTAGGAGTTAGACCCCCTAAGCCCTAGTTAAGGGTTATAGGGTTTAGGTTTTAAGGTATAGGGTTTAGAGTTTAGGGTGTAGGGTGGAGATGATGTAAAACACTGAGCCCTAAATCCTGGGCAGCTTGAGATGCCACAGCTGAACTGGGTTTTGAGAAACCCGAAAACATACACTCTAGGGCTTAGGGTTCAGGCTTTATCCCAATGTGCTCACGCCCTTTTGGAGGCTCACCAAACTTAACCAGGGTCCGGCGGGTTCATCCTCACCACCACAGACACATCATAGGATTTAGCGTTGAGGGTTGTAGGGTTTAGGGTTTAGGGCTTAGGATTAAGGATTTTGGGGTCTTAGGGGTGGAAGGTTTCAGGGTTGAAGGGTTTTAGAGTTTTAGGATTTAGGGTTTCAGTGTTTTATGGTTTCAGGGTTCTAGGGTTTAAGGGGTTTAAGGGGTTTAGTGCTTTTTTCAACTCTGAGCCTTGACTTCCCAATCTCTCAAAGCCCAAGACCCTGAAACCCTCAAGCCCTCAAATTCTACCTCCCCACGCCCCCTCTTTAAAAGCCCTGCCCTAAAGCAAGAACCCGAAACCCAAACCCTAAACCCTAAACCCGAAACCCAACCCCCAAACCCTTAACCCTGAACCCTGCACCCTAAATCCTAAACCCTAAACCCTGAACCCTGAACCCTAAACCCTGAACCTGCAACTGAACCCTTGCCAGGCCTATGCCTTTCTCAGTGCATTGTTGCACCAGGTCTTCCACTGAAGAACGCCGGCACAGTGGGCTTTTGAGGCCAAGCAGGTCCTTCGCATGTTGCATGTAGGGTTTAAGGGTTAAGGGTTTAGGGGTTAAGGGTTGAGGGTTGAGGGTTGAGGGTTTAGGGTTTTAGGGTTTTAGGGTTTAGGGTTTTAGGGTTTTAGGGTTTAGGGTTTAGGGTTTAGGGTTTTAGGGTTTTAGGGTTTAGGGTTTTAGGGTTTAGGGTTTGAGGCACTACATAGGGCTTGGGGTTTAGGGTTCGATTGCTCAAGTCTGGCAGGTGTCTAGGCCTTTGAGGTTCAGGGGTTTCGGGTCCTGGGGTTAGTTGCTCCTGCTGCGTGAGCCCTAAAGCCTAACCCTAAACCCTAAACCCTAAACCCTACACCCTAATTAAACCCTAAACCCTAAACCCTAAACCCTCAACCCTCAACCCAGGGCATAAAAGCAGCAGGTACCCTTCGGCAGCTCGAAGCCCCCAAAAGCGCCTTTGCGAAGCGGACTGTGTGGAGCTCGATGCTCAAGATGCCCTCTAGGCCCTAAACCCTATAGGCTCTATACAATAAACACCTTGGTAGCCCAAACATCATATTTTAATAAGGGCGCCGTCTTTTGGGCTTAGTCACTTTGTAAGGGAACCTTTGAAACCAAAAAAAGGGAAAAGTGCACCACTGGGCTACCCAGACCCTGAACCCAGCAAACCCCAAACCTTGCCTCCCCACTAAGAACCCCCACATTCAAGTACTTAGACTTGGGATGTTCCCCTTTATACTAGCAGTCCTTACCCGACATCCTAAACCCTAAACCCTAAATCCTAAACCCTAAACCCCAAGCCCCAATCCTAAAACCCAAGAAAACGCCGAGGTTGTTCCAGCTAAAGTGCAGAAGGGCTCCTGAAGCTGCTCGCATTGCTCTCGTGCAGCCGGCCACCTCTCTCCGTTTGGGGTTTAGGGTTTAGGCTTTAGGGCTGAGGGTTCTAGGGCTTAGGGTTTAGGGTTCTAGGGTTAAGGGTTGATGGCTTAAGTTTAGGGTTTAGGGTTCTAGGGCTTAGGGTTTCGTGTTCTAGGATACTGGGTTTAGGGTTTAGGGTTTAGGGTTTAGGGTTTAGGCGGTACCCAATACCCAAGAAGCAAGCAACGGCACACCTGATTTTGAATTTAAAAGCGGGCTGGATTAACACGGAATACGAAACCTAAACAGGATAAGGGTGCTACTGGGCTTCTCTTAGTAGAGTTTTAACACAAGGTTGAGGTTTCGGGCTTACGACTTTCCAGGGGTCGTAGAGCAAGTCAGGCTTGAGGATTCTGCCAGCAAAGCGTTGTGGTGGCCTAAATCGCAAACCCTAACTCCTAGACCCCCAAACCCTAGCTGCCTCGTCGCCAGGTCATAGTTCAGGATTGCTCCTTCCTTGGTCGACGCACCAGAGCCACACAACCCCCTAACCCCCTTTTCCCAACAAGAAGAGACTGCATACCCTAAACCAAAAACGCTACAGCTTGCATGTGTCTAATGGTTTTGTTTAGGGTTGCAGGAAACCCTAAACCCTAAACCCTAAACCCTAAACCCTAAAGGGGCTTTGCAGCTTCGGGCTGAGGCGTGCAGATCCAGTTTCCCACTCGAGGCCCATGGAAGTCGCTGCTTCCCAGCTGGCAACAAGTCCGTCGAAGGCGAAGACGTGGCCTTAGGGTTTAGGGTTTAGGGTTTAGGGTTTAAGGTTTAGGGTTTAGGGTTTAGGGTCTAGGGCTTAGGGGGCTTGGAGGGCTCAGTGGGCTTATAGGGCTTTACAGGGCTTATAGGGCTGACAGGGCTTTCTGAGCTTTTTGGGCTTAAGACTTAAAAGGCTCAGGTCTTAGGGCTTACAAGGCTCAAGGCTTAAGGCTTCGGGCTAAGGGTGGAGTTCGGCTTTGGCTTTGGGGTTCCCATGAGGAACCTGGACCCACCCCCCCACCCCCTCCCCCCTCCTCCAAAAACATGCTTTCTGGAGTTTTGGGTTCAGGGTCTAGGGCAACCTTGCTTTACTAGTCATGCCCCTAAATCCCCAACCATCCCACCCACCCCTGTAAATACTCTTGCGCTGGGAGCAATAGACTAAACCACTAAACCCTCCACCCTAAACCACTAAACCACTAAACCCTCAACCCTAAAACCCCCCAAATCATCGGGGTTGATCTACGCCTGAGCCTCTCCACCATCTTCCCGACCGTCCGCACTGTCAAGTGCGTAGATGTGGGGCTGCTTCGGGGCCTGGGAGCCTTGTAGTCAGTCCATCGCGGCTTACTCGCCAAACCCCAAACCCTAGACCCCCAAACCCTAAAACCCTAAAACCCTAAAACCCTAAACCCTAAACCCTAAACCCTAAACCCTCAACCCTCAACCCTAAACCCCAAACCCCAAACCCCAAGCCATAGCTTAGGGCACCCAAATGCGGTCCCAAACCACCGGTCCAAAGTGTCGCCCGCACTTTCGAGGGCGCTGCTCGGCCGCCTCATGGGGCCCACAGAAAGCACATTAGGGTTTAGGGTTTAGGGTTTAGGGTTTAGGGTTTAGAAGCAAGAAATTTGGATAGGGATATCGCATATAGATCCCCTTATCATGAAGCCCAAGAAGGTAGGATATCCTGATAAAAAGCCCTAAACCCTAAACCCTAAACCCTAAACCCTAAACCCTGAACCCTAAACCCTAAACCCTAAACCCTAAACCCTAAACCCTAAACCCTAAACCCTAAACCCTAAACCCTAAACCCTAAACCCTAAACCCTAAACCCTAAACCCTAAACCCTACAAGCTTATGCTTATGTCCTTTTTGGGGCCCCTAGGGCCTCTGCTCTCCACAGCGGCGGGGGCCAGGTTCACATGGCGAGGGCCCACAGCACACGAGCCAGCTCCATGGGCCTCCGCTGTTGTGGGGTTTAGGGTTTAGGGTTTAGGGTTTAGGGTTTAGGGTTTAGGGTTTAGGGTTTAGGGTTTAGGGTTCAGGTTTCAGGGTTTAGGGTTTAATTAGGTCGGGAACAACAAAAAGGCGGCCCCTCTTTTGGTGCGACTACGTTGATAAGGGAGCCTGACCCAAAGTCAAGATTGTGGGCAGGTAGTTGAAAAGAGCTTCCAAATCATGTGCGCGCTTGCTTGTGTACGAATCGTTGTGCGCGACTGCCAAGGCTCAACAGCCTCTTCATTCCTAAGACCTTGAACCGAAGCATGTCATTTCTTCAACATCCTCCATGTCTCGCAGAGTTCAGAAGAGGGGCTGGAGTTAGGAACCCTATGAGCCCCCTAAACCCTAAACCCCAAACCCTAAACCCCAAACTCGAAAACCCTGAACCCTGAACCCTACACCCTAAACCATAAACCCTACAGAAGACCCGCGCTGGCACGCCTCCAGCGTGCTCACCAGGAGCTCTGCAACCTCGTCGGCATAGTGCAGGGAAGAGAGCAACAGCCTCAGGGGCAGCTTCCGGGGTTTAGGGTTTAGGGTGTAGGGTGTAGGGTGTAGGGTTTAGGGTTGACGCCGCTACACACCCACACTCCTCCGCTAGAAAGCCACACCCTAAACCCTAAACCTGAAACCCTAAACCTCTGAAGCACTACACCGCTAACCCCTCCAATCGCGTGTAGCCCCAGAACCAACCCCACAAACTAGAAAAAAGGGTGTCGTTTCCTTCGCTTCATGGAACTTTGAGGCCTTAACCCCTTGTCACTAGTCCCGAACAGAGGGAAGTCCCTAAACCCTATAAACCCTAAACCCTAAACCCTAAACCCTAAACCCTACAGAGGGAAGTCCCGAACAGAGGGAATAAGGGCCGTACGCGTCCCAGGTGCAGGAGAGCCCAGTGGGGTCGGCGGTCAGCACCGACAAGCGAGCACAGCTGCTCCAGATACTCCTCGAGCTTCACTCCGTCAAAGATCAACACCCTAAACCCTAAACCCTAAACCCTAAACCCTAAACCCTAAACCCTAAACCCTAAACCCTAAACCCTAAACCCTAAACCCTAAACCCTCAACCATAGCCCAGAACTCCCCAGTCTTGGGCTGTGCCGCCGCCTTTGGAAGGTGGTGTAGGCTTGAGTTTTGGTCGCTTGAGCTTGTGTATGGTTCTCAAACCCTGAACCCTAAGCCCTAACCCTGAACCCTGAACCCTGAACCCTGAACCCTGAACCCTGAACCCTGAACCCTGAACCCTGAACCCTAAACCCTAAACCCTAAACCCTAAACGCTTTCCTTCTTCCAAATTTTCGACCCCAGAGCTCCTCGCGGTTCTCCGGATCGTTCGCAACCAGGACCACCAAAGATGCCAAGTAGGGGACCAGGCAGAAGTCCAGGGTCTTCTTGCGCAGCTCCTGCTTCGTGTAGGGTTTAGGGTTTAGGGTTTAGGGTTTAGGGTCTAGGGTCTAGGGTCTAGGGTCTAGGGTCTAGGGTCTAGGGTCTAGGGTCTAGGGTCTAGGGTCTAGGGTTTAGGGTTTAGGGTTTCGGATTTAGGGTTTGGGTTGAGGGTTTTGGGGTTTGGGGCTTGGGGTTTGGGTTTGGAGGTTTCGGGAGGCGAATCCCAAAAACGCATGAACCCGCGACACCCTCAAAACACTTCAAGCCCTAACAACCCCCCTGACCGTAAAATCCTTTGGTCCCTTATCTCTGAAGGCCCTTAGAACACTGAAAGCCCTGAAGAAGTTCCTTGACCCTCAAAAGCCTGGAACCAAAAACTTTAACACCCCTAACCCAAAACCCTAAACCCCAAACCCCCAAGCCCTAAACCCCTCGCCCTAGGCCCTAAACTCTCAACCTCCTAAATCCCCCGAACCCCCCCCCGCCCCCCACCCAAAACAAAGAAAAACGCGAACGAGCTCTAGCCCGCAAAGTTCCGAACCTCAAAAGCAAGGCCCCGCTTTTCCTAGGTTTAGGGTTCAAAGCGAACACCGCGGGAGGGGAGGGTTCTTCACAATCTTCGAATGATGGATTGATGGGAAAGACTCATGTAAGTTGTAAAGGAATTTCTGTTGCTTTAGGGTGCTTTTAAACGCTTTTTCGGGTACCCAAACAGACCCATAATTTTACAGAACCGACCATGTGGTCTTCGAAGAACCGTTTGTTGATGGCCCGCCATGAAACGGAGCAAGTCTGGGCAGTTTAGGGTTTAGGGTTTAGGGTCTAGGGTCTAGGGTCTAGGGTTTAGGGTTTAGGGTTTAGGGTTTAGGGTTTAGGGTTTCGGAAGTCAAACAGAAACCAAGACGCCCCGAGCCCAAGAGCAGAGAAGCCGAGAAGCCAGCAAAGACTGTTCGGCTCTTAGTCTGGCTCTTAGTAGTTATATATATATATATATACAGACAGAAAACGTCGCACTGCAGACCCAATTTTATGTAAGGTCAGTGCTTTAAGCTAAAACTATAAATATACAACTCAACGATATCAAAGCTGGACACACATGCATCTACTACCCAAACGTATTGAGTAGGCAGCTTTTAAAAAATAATGCTTAGTTTCAGAGATTGCGTGGCGGTCAGAGTATGGTCTTTCGTCTTGGTTTTGGGGGGGGGAGGGGGGGGGGAGGGGGGGGGAGGGGGGGGGGAGGGGGGGGGGAGGGGGGGGGGGGGGGGAGAGGGGGGGGAGGGGGGGGGGAGGGGGGGGGGGAGGGGGGGGGAGGGGGGGGGGGGGGAGGGGGGGGGGGGGGAGGGGGGGGGGAGGGGGGGGGGGAGGGGGGGGGGGGGGGGGAGGGGGGGGGGGGGGGAGGGGGGGGGGGGGGGGGGGGGGGGGGGGGGGGGAGGGGGGGGGAGGGGGGGGGGAGGGGGGGGGGGAGGGGGGGGGGGGGGGGGGGTTTCATTGGGGCCCATGTCAACTTTAAGGAGTCTGAATTTTCAAGTTTTGAAGATTCTTAAAAGCCCACCGCTTTCAAATTCAATTGGGGTGGGGGGGGGGGGCAAATAATTTTAAAGATGTTAAAGGTTTTTCAGATTTTAACAGAGGGCTCCCTCGTTCAAATTTAAGTACGACCCCCAAGTAAAATGTGTTTTTTCAAGTTTTGAAGATTTGCGAAAAGGGGCCTCCCTTTAACATTTCAATGGAACACCAAGTGAAATTTAAGATTTATAAAGGTGTTTAATGATTTTAAAGCTTTTGAAAGGCCCCGACCTTAAAAGTTTACATGGGAACCCGAATTCAGCTTTTTGTAAAGATTTGAAAAGGCCCCCGCCCCCCGCCCCAATTAAGCTTTAAAGATATTAAAGGTTTCAAAGGTTTTACATAGTTTAACGGGCGGCTCCCCCGTTGAATATTAAATGGGGCCCCCAGTTCAATTTCAAAGATTTTTAGAACCCCCCCCCCCTAAAAGTTTAATTGGAGCCCCCAATTACATTCTAAAGACGTTAAAGATTTTAAAGATTGTGAAAGGGGGCCTCCCCCATTTAAACTTTAAGTGGGGGCCCCATTAAAAAATATGATTTTAAGTTTCAAAAGATTTTAAATGGCCTCTCCTTGAAAATTTGAATGGGGCTCCAATGAAACTTGACAGATTTGAAAGATTTATTGATTTTACAGATTTTGGAGATGTTAGAAGACCTCCCCCCAAAAAAATTTCAATGGGGCCCCCAATTCAATTTTTAAGATCTTAAAAGCCCCCCCCCCCCCGCCTCTCTCAGCTTGGGGAAGTCACCACGGCGTCGTCACCGAACGCTGCTCATACCTACAGAGAAATGGGGGCGCAGTCTTGCGTGTGTCGTGTTGTGCCCGAGGCCGGCGCATGTAAGGCGGGTCGGTGTGGAGCCAGGCGAACGGACGGCTGCAACATCCAAGCTGGGACTGAGCTCGTGACGTGCTCCCGGTGCTCGATGTGAAGTGGCACGTTCAGAAGCAGAATTTCTTGCGCCCAGTCCGTGAAACGGCGTGCCTGCACACACGGTCATGGCTCGCACGATGCGTTCGCGCGCGACGCACGAGGCAGACCCTCTTTCGCAGCCAGGACGAAGGCCATTGCCAGCTGCCATCCCGGGCCAAGCCCTCGGTGTCCTGGGTCAGCAGCTGTAACGAGACACTTTCTGCGAGATCCCCCCCACAGGAGCACGTCCTCCGTCATGCGGAACCACGTGACGTCCGCCGCCTGGACCCCCAGGATCACACGAGCGTCGCCGGGGCTTACCTGCATGTAAGTCAGCGAACATGCACCTACAGACACGAAGTCGAAGGCAGAAGAAACAACAACAGCCTGGGCCACAGCGAAGTAATACGCCACTGCGATGTCCTCCGAGAAGGAGATCCAGGGGCTCTCCTGTTGCGTGGTCACGCAAGCCAACAGCGCACACGCGCGGCCCTGCTCCGGACACACGCCCGCGCCTTCGGGTTCTGGCCGATGTGCTGGGCAACGGTACGTGATGGACTGGTCATCGCCTGTGAGCTGAATGGATGCATGTAATGCCAGCGTACACAAACAGGCTAAACACGTGCCACGCCTTTGGGACGACGGCACATGTCCCGAGTCTCGGCTGCGCGCCAGACCCAGCCTCAGCGTGACGTGTGCAAGCTAGGACACACGCAAGGCAGCAGACTTGTTTCCGAGGGCCAACCCATCGACATCTCTGTGTGTTCACGGAGCTCAATTGCACGCAAGCGATCCTGCAGCGAGCAACACGCTGTGTGCCCCAATAAAATTTTATAGATTTTAACTCTAAACCCTTCCCATTTACTTTTTTTCAAGATTCTAAAGGTCTAATCCTTAAAGAATAGCTGGGGCGGGCCCCTGGTCCCCTCAAGGTCTGAATACCTTTGAAAAAGCTGAATGGGAAGGGGCCCGATTCTTTTCAGTGCTTCAAAGTTTCCAATAGCCAAGAAAACTTTTAATGTCATTAAACAATTAAATGGGAAGGGGTCCGAAAGTATTTGTTTTAAGGACTTGAAAGATTAAAAAGAAAGAAATGGGTATGGGGGGGCCCCGGGGCCCTTCCCATTTAGATTTTTGAAGACTGCAATTCAAATTTCTCCAAAATTTAAGGGGGGTTTTTTGAAAATTAAATGGATGAAGATTCCCATTAAAATTTCTTCAAGATTTAAAGGATTGTAAGTTTTTTTTTACATTAAATGTATCCGGGTAGATGTTCTCATAATATGTATGCAGGTATTGTAAGTATGGTCACAAATAAGGCAAATTCATGAAAATATGTGTTTGGACCTGAAAAAACACAGGCCTGTATTCCGACGCACTCTCTCTCTATATATATATATACATATGACCATCTTTTTCTATATCTTTATATATATATATATATATATATTATAATTATGGCCCTAATTCCCTGATTCCCTACTGAGAACCAGGGGGTCGTGTTTATGTCTTCGCGAGGAAACTTGGGATTGCCTGGAAACGTCGCAGAGACTCTCGCCAATCCGCCGGGGTTTAGGGTTTAGGGTTTAGGGCGTGCCAGACGGGAGCGCGCTTTGTGAGCGCGCGGTAGTCTGCAGACCTACCCACCCCAAGACCGCCCACTTACAACTCTCAAGGAGTTAAGACCTTTTTTTTTACAAAGCATCACATGAGTCAGCACTCACGCCCTTTTTGGGGATTTCCACAAGGTGCGTGGACCAGGCGCAAAGCTGCAGCAGACGGAAACGAGGCAGGGTCCGTGAAGACAGCTTGGGTTGGCGCGAAGGGGCTAAGGGATGGGCCAGGAACAGAGAAAGGCAGCGAGGCTTGGTTGGCGCGAAGGGGCTCCAGCCAGGAAGAACACACAGTGAACAGCTTGGGTTAACCAAAAAAACCAGTAAAACAGGGCTGGTTGGGCAGAGGGGTTTAGGGTTTAGGGTTTAGGGTTTAGGGCTTAGGGCTTAGGGTTTAGGGTTTTTCTTCAACACAACCAGGGAAGCCCAGAAGCCGGAAAGCCGAGACACCAAGAGGGCTCCGAAGCCCCAAAGAGCACACAAAAGGCCAAGAAACCAGACGAAAGAGTTAAGAAGCAGGCCCCTTGAAGCAAGAGGCAGCAAAAGCCAAGAAACCAAGACCCTAAACCCTAAACCCTAAACCCTAAACCCTAAACCCTAAACCCTAAACCCTAAACCCTAAACCCTAAACCCAGGATGCCAGGAAGCCGAGCCATCCGAGCCGGACAGCCAAGGAGCCTAGAGTCCTTGCAGCCTCTGCAACGAAGCAGCGGCTTGAGTTGTTTATAAAATCCTGCTGTAACTTTCCCTCCCTATGTACAGTTTAGTGAAAAAAAAAACCCTAAACCCCTAAACCTTCACCAAAACCTGAAACCCTGAACCCTAAACCCCGAAGCCCTAGACCCCTAAGCCCTAAACCCCAAACCCTAAACCCTAAAATCCCGGACCCCACTGCCCTGGCTCCTGCTGAGCCTCTCTGTGCTGCAGCGCACCATAGGCATGGTCGACCTGGGTCTCCATGATGCCGACCGTTTCGAACAAGTTCTGCAGCGTGGAGTGTTAGGTCTGTGGAGTTTAGGGTTTCGGATTTAGGGTTCGTTTAGGGTTAGTTTAGGGCTAGTTTAGGGTTAGTTTAGGGTTAGTTTAGGGTTAGTTTAGGGTTAGTTTAGGGCCTGTTTAGGGTTTGCGGGTTGAGGCGGAGATTCTCAGGGGTTTAAAACGTCGGGCGCAGAAGGGATTGGACTTGGAGTCGCAGATTTGAGCGATTTTTGAGCACAAGCTTGGACCCGCCCGACCTTAACTTGCTCCGCCCGAAATGCAGGGCGGTGCCTAACCCCTAAACCCTAAACCCCAAACCCTAAACCCTAAACCCTAAACCCAGGGCATTTTCCGGGGAGGATCTTACACCTGCCCCGACTTGAGTGCTCGCTCAGCTCCAGCACCTTTGAACCCTTCTTGAAACCTCCTCAACCCCGGTGGCTCTTTCATCTAAGGATTTAAGGCCCCTAACTCAACCATGAACCCGAATGGGCTTCGCACAGTCCTTCATAGCCTCAATGTTGTGAGGAGGCATCCTCTCGTGGAAGAAGCCACGCGGGTAAATCCTGAGCTGAGCTGCAGCTTTGCGCGATTCGGCTTCCAATGAAGCTGCGCAGCCTAGATCTCTTCCTAAGTGACCCTCGCGGCACAGCTGAGAAACGCCAGATGCACTTCCGCAAGTTGAACCTGCTCCAGCGCCACCGACGATGGCCAGCGCTGGTAGATTCGCCGGCTGGCCTCGGTGACCTCCTCCACAGTGTACTCGGCTTGCAGTAGACCCGTGTGTCTGAGAATTCTCCGCATAATCCGATGACTTATATCCTCGGGGGCCAAATCGGCTTTTCAAACGGCTTATGGTTCACACACATATCCCAATCGGCATCCTTGTGGTAAGTAATCGGATCTTTCATACTACCAAAAATTCAGGTTTCACATAACAAGAACAATACAAGGAGAATAACCCTAAACCCTAAAACCCAAAAACCCTAAAACCCTAAAACCCTAGAACCCTAAAACCCTAGAACCCTAAAATCCTAAAACCCTAAACCCAAAAACCCAAAAACCCTAAAACCCTAAAACCCTAAACCCTAAAACCCTAAAACCCTAAACCCTAAACCAAGACAGAGAAACAATCGCAGCCATAAGTTAGACCCCTAGGATCCGAGTCGTCCGTGCAGTCCAAGAGGGCATACAGCGGCTGAGCCGGGTGGGCGAGGCCCTTGAGCCCCTCGGATTCGGACGCAGCCTGCAGGGTTTAGGGTTTAGGGTTTAGGGTTTAGGGTTTAGGGTTTCGGGTTTGGGGTTTAGGGTTTAGGGTTTAGGGTTTGGGGTTTAGGGTTTAGGGCCTGGGCCTGGAAGGCCTGGATGCCGAGCCGGAGGTGGCCAAAAAGGCGCACGAGGTGCAGAAGCGAACTCCATGCTCGGCACATGTTTAGGGTTAGGGGGTTTAGGGTTTAGGGTTTAGGGTTCAGGGTTTAGGGTATAGGGGTTCGCAAGTTTCTTCCTGTTGCTTAGTGGGGAATGGGGGAATAAGGTACACTACATCCCCCTGTGAATACCCTTTAAGGGATTATGTAGGGCACCTCATTCCCCCATTCCCTGCCGACCAAGAGTAAGGTTTTGCAAGAAGCTCCCTGTGGTAGAATTCGCGCCCCCACCCCCCTCCCCTTTAAAGGTCAGGGTTTGGGTATCTCGGATTTCATAGAATTCTCGCCTCCACCCCTCTGTTCTTTTTAAAGGTTTAGGTTTTGGGGTTTAAATGTAAATTCTAGGGAAAAGGATACCCAGAAATAAGTGACCAACATTTCGAGACGTGACCTGTGATTGTAAAGCCGAACGGCTCGGTCTCACGCAAGTTGCCAGCAGAGCTCTCGGAACATGTTGAGGGCAGCCCTCTAATCCCTGAAGACCTTCAGCCCCAAACCCTGTAAGGCTCTAAGCTAAACCCTAAACCCTCAACCCTCAACCCTAAACCCTAAACCCTAAACCCCAAGTTTCAAACCTCCAAGGACTGCCGGCAGTCCTTGGAGGTTTGAAACTTGGGGTTTAGAGTTTAGGGTTTAGGGTTGAGGGTTTAGGGTTTAGGGTTTATGGAGGTTTTAGGCGTGCACGGGATCTAGGGATGGAAACTCTTGGCATCTTTTGCTCTTTTCCAGCCGAGTCCTGAAGGCGGTCATGCGTAATAGAGGGGCTTTAAGAATTAGAATATAGGGTTTAGGGTTTAGGGTTTAGGGTTTAGGGCTTAGAATAGGGTTTTGGAGGGAGTTTAATTCTAGTACAAATTACATAGGGATCAGAAGGGCATGCTACAAGTGATCATATTCCGACCCCTGTATGACGCATGGAAACTTAGTAGCCCAGTAACCATATTATGACAAGGGCACCCTTCTTTGGGGTTGGTTGCTTTATAAGGAAACCTTGAACCAAACACCCTAACTAAACCCTAAACCCTAAACCCTAAACCCTAAACCCTAAACCCTAAACCCTAAACCCTAAACCCCAAAAGGAAAAGGGCACCCCTCGATGACGCATGGAAAGCTAGCTTGCCTTCAATGGGATGCCAAAACAGAACTGACCGCCACCGGTTCAGGGTCTCAAACTTCTATTGGCATTCTTAAACTCACAGCGTTGTCCTAAACACTAAACCCTAAACCCTAAACCCTCAACGCTAAATCAGTCCTAGGGGGCCGAGGTTCGGGCTTGTTTGGGGTTTGCTCCTTGGCGGCCAGGCAAGATTTTGACATCCGAATTTGGCGACAACTCAGTTCCACGGCGCAGATCGCTGAACGAAAACCCCTTGCCACATATGTTCTCTAAGCCCAGACAAGCCCAAGACCCCAAAAACCCCAAAAGCATCACTAAACCCTGCCACCTAAAAGCCTAGACGCTGAATCCTACAGACCGAAACCCAAAATAGTTCATAGGTGCGCAGAAGACCCAACTAAACCCCCAGTGGCTAAATCCTACAGACCGAAACCCAACATAGTGCATAAGTGCGCAGAAGACCCAAGGCTGTCGTCTCAAAGGAGGCGATCTGAACCGAGGCTGACATGCCCGAGTCACGTGCAACAAAGAAAGGTTCGCAGAGGTCCACCAAAGGAGAAAAACTGCGCAGCTTCAGATTTCGGCTTCAAAACGGGCCTAAGGGTAAACTTGCAGCCTTTCCCCTTCAAGGGTTGCTGGAACTTGCAAGAGTTCAAGGTTTAGGGAGGGTTTAGGGTTTAGGGTTTAGGGTTTAGGGTTTAGGGTTTAGGGTTTAGGGCTTTTTTTAGAACTATTCTTGCCCCTGGCAGAGGCAACGTTGCGGGGAGGGAGGAAGGGGGGCTTACGGCCCTGCTCGATTTGGGGGCTGCACGTCACAAAGGCAGTGTTGGGGCGCGAGACCCTTTTTATTCAAGCGTGTGCGGGATCACAGCACACTGCTTTCGACAGTCCTTGCATTTCCCAAGAGGGCCTTGCGTCATGCCGCATTGGGTGGAATCTGCCTCATTCACATGAGCGCTGGCTTGGCCTGGCTTTGCTTGGAGGGGGGAGGGCTGCTGAATTGGCCGGCCCGCCCCCAAAGTGTCAGTCCAGGAATGTCATTTGCCGTGCGGCTGTTTGATTCGAAGGGCTCTTGTGAAGGTTTGGTTGTGCTGATGCAACCGTGCCGATGACGTCTAGTACGCAGCGCCGGTTTTTCAGCATTGTTTAGGGCTTAGAATATCCCTAAACCCTAAACCCTAAACCCTAAACCCTAAGCCCTAAACCTAAACCCGAAACCCTAAACAGGGTTTGTGTAGATTCTGTCTGGGTCTTTGCTCGTAGGGTTTTTTTTGCTTTGAGGGACCTCGGTGCCTAGCAGTCGGGCCACCGTGCCACTGCTTTTCAGTGGCGAAGGCAGGCTTTTGCCTCAGTCTGCGTCTCGGGACTACACCAAGGGTCCCCTGGGACCCGCAGGGAGCGTCTCGAGGCTTCAGCTTTTTCTGGGGTATTTAGGGCTTTGTTTTGGGGCAGTTTAGGGGCTCTGGTTGTTATCTGGGGGGTTTTTGAGGGTTTAAGGGTGTTTGGCGGGCCCCTGAGGTATTTTAGGGCGCGATGCTGTCTTCTTGACTACGCTTCTTCCAAGACACTTCTTCTTCGAGGTCAAGCTGTGCACAGCACAACACAGCCCCAACACAACCCCTTAACCCATACTCCTCTTAAGCCTCAGGACCTTAAAAAAATAATGTACTTAATATTCCTTTGGGTTTTATAAACAAAAATCCTAAGGGATTACCCAAAACCCTATTGTAGTAGCCCTAAATGTGGTTGGCCGGCCCCTGACGGATCCCAGGGTAAACCTGACCGGTCGAGTGAAATGCCTGAGAGAGCTCACGGTCCTATGTGAAAATCTGGAGGCTGATAGGGGTTTGGGGTCTAAACGCATGGGCCCCTTAGTGGGGTCTCTGATATGTATGTATATATATATATGTATTTATATGATTTATTTCTTATTTAAGCAAAAATATGAATACTCAAATGTACTTATGTATGTATTTATCCGCTATACTTATACACACATATACACATATACATACATGCATACATACATACATACAGACATACATACATACATATATAAATAAATAAATTAAATAAATAAATATAAATAAATAAACAAATATATATATATATATATATATATATATATATATATTTATATATATAGTGTAGTTTAGGTGTTGGGGAGCCGACAATGGACAGGTGATTTAGATCAGCCCGTGCGTCGAAGAAAGGCCTGTTCTGAGACTAGCACGCAACAACTCAGTTCAGACTCCACGTGAAGACGCGGAGAGCATGGAAGGGAGGGCCGGGCTGACGGTTCAGGCACGGTTTAGGCTTCCGGGCTTGGGGTTCCAAGGTCTGAGAAAAGAAGGCCTTCAACCCCAAACCCGAAGGCCCTAAGCCCTTAACCCGCAAACCCCAAAAGCCCCTAGACCCCCAAAACCCCGGATTGCAAGCCGTGGGCACTAAACCCTCAAAACACTTAAAGCCCCTCAACCACTAAACGCCAAGCGCTCAATCCGTGATTTCAAGTCGCGGGCCCACAGCTACCCGGAGACTTGTGAGCTCTCAGGCACAGAAAGGACCACGACATCAACTGTGAGTCGGTTCGTATTTCGGACATGGTGTTTAGGGTTTAGGGTCATTCGTTGATATCGCTCATTCACTTATTGTTGTTGTTATCATTATCATGGTTGTCTTTGTTTTGCTACTGACTATCATTGTTGCTACGCGTCTTTGAATCATTTGATCATGGCTACTATTCGCAGTACTCGTAGGACTGTGATGGTCATTACTCTTAGTGCTTTCAATTCAGGTCTTTAGTCGTATGGTGTTTTCTTGCTGATTCTTAGAATATTATGGTTGTTGCGTGTTTTTGCTCTATTTTTGGCCGGAGGTAGGGGTAGGGGGCGGGGGCAGGGCGGTTGCAGTTCTTGGTAAGGCATCCTATCAGGGGATTAAGACTAACCCTAAACCCCAAACCCTAAACCCTAAACCCTAAACCCCAAACCCAAAACCCTGAACCCTAAACCCTAAACCCTAAACCCTAAACCCCAAACCCTAAACCCTAAACCCTAAACCCTAAACCCTAAACCCTAACCTTATATACCCTTGGGAAACCATTAACAAACGACCCAACCCAAGGGTACAACCTTAGGGGTCCAAGGCAGTGTCCCATGATCCTACACCAGGGGACCCTAACTAAGAACGTTCGCCAACAAGACTTGTGGTTTAGGGTTTAGGGTTTAGGTTTTCAGGGTTCAGGGTTCAGGGTTCAG